CCCAAAATATGCTCTAATGAGAAAAATTCCTCCGAGTGGGGCAACTAGGCCATACTAAGATATGCTCTGATGGAAAATAATCCTCCGAGTGGGGCAACTATGCCATACTAAGATATGCTCTAATGGAAAATAATCCTCCGAGTGGGGCAACTATGCCATACTAAGATATGCTCTAATGAAAAATAATCCTCCGAGTGGGGCAACTAGGCCATACTAAGATATGCTCTGATGGAAAATAATCCTCCGAGTGGGGCAACTATGCCATACTAAGATATGCTCTAATGGAAAATAATCCTCCGAGTGGGGCAACTATGCCATACTAAGATATGCTCTAATGAAAAATAATCCTCCGAGTGGGGCAACTAGGCCATACTAAGATATGCTCTGATGGAAAATAATCCTCCGAGTGGGGCAACTATGCCATACTAAGATATGCTCTAATGGAAAATAATCCTCCGAGTGGGGCAACTATGCCATACTAAGATATGCTCTAATGAAAAATAATCCTCCGAGTGGGGCAACTATGCCATACTAAGATATGCTCTAATGGAAAATAATCCTCCGAGTGGGGCAACTATGCCATACTAAGATATGCTCTAATGGAAAATAATCCTCCAAGTGGGGCGACCATGCCATACTAAGATATGCTCTAATGGAAAATAATCCTCCGAGTGGGGCAACTATGCCATACTAAGATATGCTCTAATGGAAAATAATCCTCCGAGTGGGGCAACTATGCCATACTAAGATATGCTCTAATGGAAAATAATCCTCAGAGTGGGGCGACCATGCCATACTAAGATATGCCTCGCACGGCATCTTCTTTAGTAAGATCGTCGAGGCGACCGGCGCACCTCAAATTCCAATCGCCACGATCTTGCAGAGATCGAATTCCCGGTTGGTAAACCTGCTCCAGGCTATCCTATGATAGGCGAAGTTACATCGGTCACACCGACTAACTTGATCATTCTACCTCGTTGACCTGCGAACATGGTTGTGATGTGATACATCACCGAAATGCGTAGTAGTCCAAGGCGGAAAAACTCATTCTATTGAGGCTGAAGGTGTAATCGAGTCTGCCCCACAAAATGTTGAGAAACCGATGGCGCTGACCCCAGAGCACTACGTTCCGCCAACACCCGGCAAGCCACTCCCTCACGTGTCCCGATGGATAACAACCGCGACATAAACTCACCGACCAGGAAAACTTATAGAATAGCACCGCCATAACTCGACGAAGCATTCCACATATCTGAACGAGACTGAGAAACAGATTCGAAAGAAAGCCTCGGAGATATATAATATGGATGATCGAACTTGAGTCCTTTACATTATGGGGCAAACAAAGAGTTATCAGTTCAGCCTGAGCTGTTCAGGAGCACTCTTCCACGAGCATTCTCGCGACAGGAATACAATATACTCCAAGACCGATTGAACGGTTACTATAGTGACTCAACATCGATCGTTTTGGTAAACTGAGTCTGACGTTGAGGAAGGGAAGAAGTCTACTCCTCTTCGGCGGCCTCCTTGTGATGATGATGCTTCTTTGACTTCTTCTTCTTAGTCTTAACCACATCAACATCAACCTCGACCTGAGATCGATCCCATGAATATATGTCACAAGTCCTGGTAACATTACCTCCTCATCTTCATCATCAGCGACCTTCTCGTGCTTACGCTTCTTCTTTGAGTCCACGGCATTCTCAGCTTCCTCAACCACAGCATCAGCTTCAGTATTGTACGTAGGAACACCACCCGCTGGCTTGCTGTACCTAGCACGCACATCTCTCGAACAGGACCAACGAATTAGAAGATCTCTGTACTTCTGAGTAGCACGTTTAGAGTAGTCCTTGGTCGCCTGAGCAACGCTGCCTCCCTCAAGCTGCCGAAGCCTGCCATCGAGTGAAGTGAATACATTGTGTCATGCATGATACCGTAC